GAGCTCCAGCTGCAGGCTGTCTTGACTCAGCTCGACAAGGAGGCGCAGGTCCTGACGAGTGCACTTCAAGATGCGCGGTGCCACGCAAAGTCGCTGGAGCGGCAACTCGCACAAGCCAACGCGCGCATTCACGAACTCGAGGCCGCCACGCCCCGCAGCGAAGTCGCCATCTGCAAGCTCGAAGCCCAGGTCGCCAGCGAGGCCAAAGCCGTGGAGGAACTAAAAACCAAGTACGACGCACTGTTAGCCACGCACCGGGCGCTCCAGACGCAAATGGTCGAAGAGAAAACGCGGCTCGTACAACATCATGCGCTTCAGCAAGGACTTCTCGAAGAGCAGTTGGCCCGTGCCAAGCAAGACGAAATGGAGCGACTCCATGAGCGAGTGCGCCATGCGATGGAGATGAAGGCTGCCGTGATTAGCCAGCTCGAAGCAGCGGTGCTGGAGGCAGAGAATCGCGCTGCGCTGGCCGAGCACGCACTCAATCAAATCCACACGGAAATGATGACCAGCTCGCGGTGCGACGTCCTCGAAGCCTTTCCCATCGATGCATGAGAGAACCGACTGGAAAGTGATATTTTGTAAACAAGATTGTAGTTGTGATATGAGCCCTAATTACAGCATGGTGCCGATACGACTGAGCTATTTGAGACAAGAGAACACCCATCGACATTTTAGCGCATCTGCCTCATCTGCCTCGAGTCGGAGTGAACGTCGTACTAACATCGCCCAGGATTTGAGCGTAAAAGTTAGAGGAACGAGTACTAGTACACGTATTCTGCGTTCGCTCCAGCCCTGCTACAACAATACTGAATCAATCTTTGCCGGTACACCAACGCGCATGGACGCCCAGTAGTTCGAAGCGATGTCATAATGCTTGAGTGCTCCCGATAGGCCACGAGTCGTGAGTCTCTTGACGTGAGTCACGACAAGTCGACGCATTCGCTGCAAAATCCTCATCTGTATGCACTATGAGATCACGAACTACCAGCTGACCCAGAGATGGTTCTAGATCACTGGGAAAGAGGTTTTTTGTTTTGTACTTGGAGTCCTGGATAATACACTCTTCCTTTCCACTCTCGTGCCTCGCATACCTCACGGCAAGCTGCAAGGTTATGAGCCCAACTACGGGGGTTCAGAAAGGAAGCGCTAACAAGCATCAGTACCCTGCGGGGTCCAGCAGCGACTCGGACGACGAGTCGCGCTCGGCCAAGGAGAAGAACAACAAGAAGGCCAAGAAGAAGGCCAAGAAGAAGGCCAAGAAGAAGGTCAAGAAGCCCGACGACGATGACAGCTCGTCCAGCTCGTCCAGCTCGTCCAGCTCAGAGTCAGCAAGCTCCGTGACATCTACGTCGTCCACGAAGGCGGAACGCGATGCTCGGAAGGCCATTGTCGCTCGACATCTACGGATGACGCCGCTTGACAAGCTCGTTGATGGCGAGTACATGGTGTACCGAGGGATGCTTCAGACGATCTTTTTGGAGAACGAGCTCTGGGAGCTTGTCACGGGCGAGCGAGAGGTACCTGGTATCTTGGCTCTGCGCAAGCATCACGAGTACATGCAAGATGACATGAAGGCCAACACTGCGATTATGAAGTCGCTGCCGAGTGACGTCAAGTTGCAGGTCCTACATCTCGATCGAGCCTCGGAGAAGTTTGAGTATCTCGAGAACAAGTTTGCACGGCGCCGTCACATCGAGTCCAGCGCCGACATGTCGGCCCTCACCGATTTGAGGTTTGACCCGATGCAGCAGACGTTGGACGAGTTCCTCGCCGACTTCAAGAAGAAGGAGCTCGAGCTTCGGATGCGCCAGAACGGACAAATGCCCGATGTCATGCTCAAGTCGACGCTGCTCAGCGCCACGGTGCGTTTTCTCAACGTACGCACGGACCTCGTACACCAGCTGCTACACTGAAGAGCACTGGAAGATGGCCATGCGGGTGCTCAAGTATCTTGTCGGCACGATTGACCACGGCCTCGTCTACGACCTCAAGGAAGCGATGGACTACAAGCAGCTCCAGATTGACTCGTGGACCGACTCGGATTATTGCAACGACAAGCCCGATCGTAAGTCCATTTCCGGTTTTATCACGAAGATGAATGGCCAGCTCATCGCGGCTCGAAGCCGCAAGCAAGAAGTCCTCGCC